CGCTTCTACGCACTTCTAAATTTTTACGTGTCAATTTGCGACGTAAATATATCAGGCGAATAATCATAAATATAAATGAGACGATTGAAGTAGAAACTCGTTAAATTATGCGCGTAATTTGAGATAAGTTTTACGAATTAAATTAAAATCGTATCTACACATAAAAGTAGATAAATAATTTTAAGAAAAGACAAAATTCGCGAGATTACCGTTACGCGAAGTACTTGATGCATTAAGAAGTACTTGATGCATAAAAGCCAATAGTATATTGTACAACTAGTGGAAAAAGTGGTCGATTCTGAATGAGTGTAAAGTTGGTCGCACGAGCGAAGCGAGTGCGACCATCACACTCATTTGGGCTCGACCACTCTTCCCACGAGTGTTGTTCATACTATTTTTCCTAACAAGAGCGTGAAACAGGCCGCTTTTCGCGCTTGTTTTACAATTTCATTTCTCTACTAGTTGAGAAATGGCTCCATGTTTCAACGCTTACGTCATCATTGCGAAATGGATCGTTTTGCTCACTCAAAACAAGCGCGAAAAGCGGCCCATTTCACGCTCGCGTTAAGAAAAAATTATTTTCCACTGTTTCGTACGCGGATTATATTGTACAATAAATTAAGCTGACAATTAAACAAATGAATAATTTCTTTGCGTTCACGGCGAAGATCGACACGTGACGTCCAACGAATCCTTGTCCTGGAATCGTCGAGTCTCACGGGTGGGTGATCCGCAAACGGAGCGATTTAGTTCTTATCTTTATTTATTGCTTATTTACTTTAATAAATACATACTTCGTCTCTCTTTATAAATTACAATTAAGTTTATAGGATACGATATCATTCGGATGACACGTGTAATGATACGCGCTTCTGATCAAACGTTCATCGCAACTCGCTCTCTCGTTCTACTATGTACTCGCAATTGATCCTTTTCCTCTTTCCACGATCTTGTTTCCAGCTCGACTTTTGCTCGGTACGTGTTATTGTGCAACTCGCGAGAGCATAAACGTTTCTGTATTTGTTGCTCTATTTTCTCCCCCCCCCTTTTCGTTTTCTGTGTATGCGTGTGTGTAAATATTAATATATCTGTCGCGCTGGCTCTCGCCCTCTCATCATCCGCTCGCGCGCCCTCTCGCTCGATTTCTCTCTCGCTCTTACCCACTCTCACTCTCCCAGTCTCTCCCTCCCTTTCTCTCTCTCTCTCTTTCTCTCCCTTGACTGTCAGCTTGAGGTGGTAAAAAAACGCACCCCCGCCTCCTCACTCTCACTCTTAATTCTCTCCTTCCCGAGCGAGCGCTGATTTTCCGCTCGTTTGAAGCATAGGCTATAATACGGGATAGGACCACTATACGAGCAATTAATCGATGTTGTAACAATTTTAACTTGTGTGTATCTAGATTTATTAATTAAATATATACTGTATTGCTTGCTTGCATTAATTTATAAAATATTTAATTTTAAACAAATATGGGAAAGAGTTTAAAAGAAACACATGCTTAAAAAAAATAAAAAAATAACTTTTGCACGCAAGTTTTATTCGTAATTTCAATAATGTTTTAATAAAAGAATAACATCTTAATGATAATACTTAATGACAATACTTTTTTTAAATATTAACTTGTGTTATGTATGAAAGAATTATAGGACAAATTTCCCGTAAGTCGGTGCTACGCATTGTCGTAGCGCTTTCGATAGTCACGGAGCGGAAGCGTGGCGTGATTCGGCCCTGTTCGCGTGTTTCGGCTCCGCTCCGGTATTCGGAACGAGTTATAGTCCAGTCAAATTAGACATTTGAGCTCGGAAGTGAAGCGGTATTTATGAAACCTTTTTAGGGTTGTTGGGGGGATGTAGAAGAGCTTATTTCTGAGTTGTCGGGTTAATCGGACCGATGGGTTTTTAAGGGGGGGAGGGGGAATGAAAAATTTCGTTTTTTCGCAATAACTCGGCGAATTTTGACCGTACATGATTGACTAACCTCTCATTTTGTAGCTCTTTTAAAGCCCTACAATTCATTTCCTGAAGACCCTAACTTAAAATCAATATTTGTCGAGTTCTAGCCGGTGAAAGTGGCCGAGTCCCGAGCGCACTCGACTCGACGCGCACCGTCCTGATATCAGGTATAAATATATAAGTTGATATTGTACATTTGTAAGTTGCGATATCTGCAATATTTGCAATATCGTATAATGTAATCGCTTTGTTGCATATTTACGCGAAACATCTTCGGCCGAATTAGTCTTGCAAAATATGCGTTCGACGATCAAATATACGAAGATGCATCTTCGGTCCGGTATCATGATGTGACACTACGCGAGTCAAATGGATGGTTAATAAAAGCAATTCAATTTTATATTGCACGCGCAGTATACAATAATTGAGTTTATTAATATCGCAAATTGTATATTATGTAAAATTACTAATTACATTTTCAACAAATAACAATATATATCAAGCTTTTCTTTTTCTCTCCAACGTGAAATGTAATGTGTTCACTTTTTAATTATCACCTTATTTCAAGGTATGTATGTACACATAATCGACTCCCTACTCCCCGAAGTCCCTTTATCAATTCATCAATTGTTCTTGCGGCGCTCCGCGATTATCCATCGAGTTATCGACGAGCCTGCTTTTTGCTCGACGTTTTCGACGGCGTCTTCTCGATGTCGCTTCCGAGCACGTGTATTTTTCGAAACGTATAACACCACAGATTTATTAATCTGTGATAACCTGATAACACGTGTTGATGATTGATGAAAATTTTCTAACATAACGCATAACGCCCGTGCGTTGGGGATTTAAAACGAATATTAAATACGTGCTCGTCTATAATTAATAATTAATAATTTCAATTTCATTACGAATTTTCTCACGGATGGACATCGTTGCACATTAACTTGATATCTTATAAGGTATAGTGATTATACTGTAAAATCGACTAAAGTCGACTTTGCAGAGAACGGATTCACACGGCACATTAGTAGAATACTTACATAACTACCTCTTTCGAGCGTTTTTTGCGAACGAAGTTGTCCAAACCGACCGACGAGAAAGGCAGAACGCGAGGGATAACTTGGGACATTTCTCTCTTTTTTTTCTTTTGGCGCACACAAACACAGTGCCGCAAACGTAAAACTAGCGATAAATTTCTTCGACCTGACTACGGTTATTAGCCAATCCCGATAGCAAGCTGCATCGTCAGCTAGCGTCAGTCGTATATTACGAAATTAAAACGCTGTCGGTAAACCTGATTGCAGGTTTGCTTCGTTTAATTTTCGTTTTGAATCAGTGTGTGCGACAGTATGGCAAGGTTTCAATGAAATAAAGAGCACACTTTGGGAAACCTACTTTTGCGCGTTTTCACCTCTTCTGCCTACGGTCTTTGACGCGACCGCTTTTTTTAAGGTGCAACCAACAGAAATGACTGATTTGCGTGGCTCACGCCACGTTCCGCGCTTTCGCTCCCTCGGCTGCTATTTTAAATATATGCGGAAGATGGCGAATGCGCCTACAGAAAGTAATGAATCCATTGTGAGATGCGTTTATATAGAAAATAATAAATTCATGAGATGCGAATAAAACGTCGAGCAGCTATTAACATATTTTTAAAAAATTCATCATTGTAGATGTAGCGCATATTTAATGCGTACGAGCATCTTTAGCAGTACAATTGAAAGATAAAAAGAAAAATTTTCAGTTGAACTTTAGTCGTTAAGAATTCTGATTTTTCTGCGAGTTGTATCAAGAAATTATTTTGCGTGAAAGCGCTACTTTTTTCATGCTGCCCCTGGGAGAAGTTACATCCAGATCGTTGCATAAAAATCAAGTATTCCGGCTCGCGATTTGAACTTGTACTACAACCGATATATCCAGCGTCGCAATAATCATAGCCGTAGCGTTTAACGGCCCACGAAAGTACGAGGCGACCAACGAGAACCGACTTTATTTTACGGTATCACGAAACTTCACGAAAGTGGTGACCCAGAAACGCTTGTCGCTTTCACCCTAGATTCTTCAGCTCCAAAAAAAAGAAAGAAACGAGAGGGGGAAGGAAGGGAAGGAGGGGGCAAGAAAAAGGAAGTAGTCCGGTGTCTATCACAAGGCATATAAATGGCTGAGTAACTCCGCCTGTTGCGCATCGGGTTGGTGAGTCAGAAATTTTTTTTATACTGGGGTAACGAATCTATGATTATAATTAAATATAGAGCAAATGTATCTCGATGCATGTCAAATTATGACAATAAATTATAGTATAAATTTATTACATCTCGTAGATTCGTTGCTTATTCTATATGTAATTATATTTTATATACATTTTATATATACACAAACGTCACATTTTTGTGAAAAAAAATTAAAATATCTTCTTAATTATTTTTTAATTTATCTTCTTATTGTTTTCTTTATGTATACGAACAAAAATTATACAAGAGAAAGACACATTTTTTATTTTATATATAATAAAATACTTTTTCTCTCGGGGGGAATCGAGGATACATGAATGTAATAAGCAAACGAGCAGCATTTCCATGTATATCATTATGTATTTACAATTTGACAACAAAATGTTAAATGTAACAGGTAGCCTCGCCCTCGGCCGGAAAGTATAATCGAGATATCGTTCTAGGAGAGCGCGAGGCCAGAGAGAGCTAAAGGTCTCACATAAATATAATAATATCCGTCATATAATAATTTATTACAATGTGTAATATGTGTATAATATATATAATATATGTTATTTAAATTTCTTAAACATCTGCTTAACTGTCCGACATATTTTTTTTTCTTTTTCCTGTCTTCTTTCTCTCCCCAACGTCTTCGTCTCCCGCTCACGTTTAATTACTATTACCAGCTTTGTTCCTTAATCTTTAATATATTCGGATTGTCCCGTACTTGATGATGATATCATACAACGCCCACAATATTTACTTTTTACGCTTGCGAGTGCTGATAAAAATTCACGTTCGGCGATACGGCGTATTTTTTCTTTGTGTGTGTGTATTTTTTTTTCAAAATTCCAATCACGAACGCATATCTGAATTGTTTCGCCATTATTTCTGTCAGACATCACGGCTCCAGGATATTTTTACATTCTTCCTTCATCCACGTTTTTTTTATGAGCAGGTTGTTTTTGCAGCCAATTTTGGGATCTTTCCGCTCTACGAACTGGAGTTTAGTTCAAATTACAAAAGTATAAGATCCTTCTAGGACGGTAAGATCCTTTTTGATTATGAGGACCCAAGGATTCAAGGATTTCAGGAGCTAACTAAGCCACTTCGTGGCCGCGATCGTCTCGTTTTGCTCAGAAAGCAAGCAAAATGCAACCTTCGACATCGTGTTTAGGTGCATATGTATAAAACTTTGACTTTCCTCTATCGATTATTGATGTAATGGTTCCTTTGCAAAGAAGATTTTGTTAACATTAAAATTTTATTTATCTTTTAATCTTCAAAATTAAAACCTTTAAAATTATCGACTTGTTAATCTTAAAAACTTCAGTGAATTTATTTCATGTAAAAAGGAAACTTTTATTTTATTAGTAAATTTAACTTTTGAAGCTTTTATTGCATTTTGCATTAATGTACGTATACTTCGTATAATATTTTTAAATAAATATATAAATTTATCTTGTAAATCTCATGAAATATGAAAGGAATTGCAGTTTGGATGGGTGTGTGAGCCTTCCATATTGATTTCTGTAGTCTTGTGGCAGTGTGTTACGCATAATAGTTTTACGTTAGTTTTTATTTTACACCTATATATATGTATATATTTTTATACAAAAAGAAAAGGATAATCACATACCATGTATCCGATGGAAGTTGAACTGTGAAGAATTTATACCACATGATTAAATACATCGGATCGTTTCGTGGTGTTTTTTTTTTATTTAGAGAAGAGTAACGATTCCGAAGGAAAATCGACTTACGTCGTGAACGACATGTCTGAATGTAAAACACGTTATTTAACAAGGTTGATCGCTCTGTAAAAATTTCAAGACTTCAAAGGAAGTATAAAAGATATGAAAGTATGAAGAATAACGCTTTGCAGTTCTCGTATTTAGTACAAAGAGACAATATGTCAGGGAGGAAATGAAGAAAATTAGAAACATTCCGTGACAACGATTTAAAATTGTCCGCGGTCTCGTTATACATATATATAAAACACATATGCGTGTAGATACGCGTACACGGAGAGGGTACGAAGATCATGCTATGTGCGTATCATGTATCGTAATTTATATGTGCAATACGTAATACGTTCGCAACGGAGTCGCCTGCATGGCAGTCGCATTAATCTGGAGCAACGATAACGAGCGATGTCGCATGCATCAACGATTCTCTTTCACAGTTAGTCCCAATTCACGTAATATGGTTAAAAAACAGAATTTTACAAATAAATATAAGATTTGAAAGAAATTTGTATATAATTGAACACGCAAGATGTTCTGTAATAGAAGAATTAAAATTTTAAAGATTCGAAGACCGAAAGTTTCAAGAATTCAAAAATCCATTTGCATCGATGAACATACTCACTCGTTACGCTCTTGAAATATTTGTCCTACGTTCGTTTTTCCCTAAATTACAACAACATGACGTCACGCGTGGATATCAACACACCAACCGGGAAACAAAGTAATGAAAACGATACGCGCGATGCAAATACACCTCTCTTAGAAAGTAGCAAACTTTGGCGTTCTTACGGTATATATAAATTCACGTTATGTACAAGGAACATCTAACATTGTAGTGGCTAGAGTAGTATTTTTTTTTTACATCTTCATCGCCGTCAATTTCATATTGAGCCGTCCACCACGTTTCTCAGGTCTTCTTTAAACGACTAGAGATTCTTCATTATCGACTAATTAGCGGAATGCATCGCTTTGATTCCTTCGCGCAAAATTTGATTGAAATTCCGATTGATCCAGGATGATCGCTTGATTCGCCATCTTTCTCTCTTATGTGTTTCCGTAGACATTTACCAACGTCTATTGAATATTAAAGAGTTTTGAGCAAGGCGCTGTTCATTTGTACTGCTTTTTTCGTTTATTAAAATTAAATTAATAATTATTAAGACTGTAAAGATCAATTACCTTTTTCAAAGAAATTTTGAGTCACCGGATAGCCAAATCTGTCCAGAAAAGATTTTGAAAATGTCTGCTGCAAATTTTATTTTTGATAGAACGACAGCAGAAATGTAACAGACTCTGCTAACAGAATATAACAGATTGATTGCAGAAGCTGAGCAAAATAACGTATTCCATTTAAATGTTGACGAAATAACAGATTCTGCTTGGTTTCTGCTGACAATTTGCTGTCAGATTATAATCGGCTTTGCTGGCGAAACACGAGTTTAATGCGGGCGCAGATGATACCGAATCCGTTGCGACATCTGAGCAAATCTGCTGCCAATCTATTGCCATACGGGCAGTTTGCTTACAGAGTGTAGAAATACATTTTAAGCTTCCTATCTTTAATTTAAGTAAAATTGAAGCAGACTTAAAGAACTCAGTGATTGTAGAATAAATTTGACAAATCTGTAATTTGTATTTTCTTTCAGCTCAAGCAATTTCTACCCTTCAAAATTCGTAACAGAGCGCATTTCGATGGGTTCTCTCTCTCTCTCTCTCTCTCTCTTTTATATTCGGTAGACCCGGCAATCTCGGTGCTCGACCATCCCTCAGCTGTGAGGAACCTCTCTCTCCAGCACCCCCCTCCGTTCGTCCGGAGCTCACGTTCCCTGGGACGTCCTGCGTCGACCCGTCGAAATGTTCAGCGGCCACTTAAAGGCCACTTGCAACAGGTCTGCGCGACGAACTTGCCTAGAGCAAGGTCGACGCCGTGAGGACATCTGGGACGACTGGCTTCGGAGGGGGGTCCAAGCATCACACTCGCATCTCGCTCATCGTTGCCTGCGACACGCGACTGGAGACCGTCGCGCTCTGCAGAAGAGGCTGGTTCTCCGGCGGACTCTTCGCCCTGGGCGGCGGCGGAGCCCGTGGAACAGTTAAATGGATGGATCCGTTTGGAGGACCCTGAAAAAAATATATAACGGTCAGTTCGTAGAATTTATTTTGTAAAAAAATATTTTTTTTTTAATATTAAAAGAAAAAAATTAAATTGTTGATTTATATCAATTACGAAATATTCGTAACCATATTATTATTTATTTCCAGATAAAAAATTTCGTTATGCTTTTAGAGCGCAACATGATTTGTAATCTTATTAAAGAAGTTTATAAAGTCAGATATAATATATGCAGGGCAATAGCGGCGCCCTGCTGTTTTATGATATCACAATTTCGATTATACGTTATTACGTCTTACTTAGATACTAAGTCTTTGAACTCGGAAAGTTTGACAGACTTTATAATGTACTTTATTAGAGAAAAAAAAATACTACTGCATGTGTGCCGAAGAATTTATTAATCTTATATCATGTACGTGATCATTTACACTATTATTATGTTTTTCATATGTTCTTCGTGCGCTGTAATATTATAAATTTTAATAAAATTTAAATAATAAAAAAATGATGTAAAATAAATAAGTTACCTACTTTTCAAAAATTTAATTGCACCGTTCAACGCACAGAAGAACATTAGAATAATAATTATTACATCAATTTAATTTATATATAATTCTTTTTTAATTAACCGAAAAAAGAATAAAGCTTGAAGCTGCTTACTTGAGTTTGCGTGTTTATGTCTTGAATGACTGAGGCTCGAGGAAGAGTGGCGTGTTGCTGCTGATGCTGTTTTTGGTAATGATGTTGATGAGGCAGTGTATGAGTTCCTTGGCCTTGGAAAGGAACGCTGGAATCGTTAGGAGGACCTTTCATTACATTTCTGTAATAATAGAAATAAATAAAAAAAATATATGATAATATTATTGCAATTTAACAAAAATTACAAAAGTTTTTATGTAATATTTTCTTAATAAAACAGATATTTATTATATAATCTTCTTCTTTTTTTAAATTTTACTGATCAACGATAACGATATAATCGATAGATCAAGTAGCAAATAAGTAATAAGGAATTAGAATGACATTTCGATACCTTCTTAACATTTCATTCTCGACGTCGACAATCACTTGGCCGCCACCGGCGTAATGCGAGTGCGGAGGCGGTGGCTGTTTCAGTTCGGTGAAACCGCGAGGACCGCATTGTTGATTCAACATCTGTTGCTGCTGAAGGCTCTTCACCTCGAGCCGCGTTTTATCCCTTTGATAATAGACGCCGGCGAATATCAGGACATTTAGGATCAGCAGGCTGCAGCCGATCGCAATTGTCACGCTCAATGCTGTTGAGTACGCCGCGTAACTGCGATACAGAACAATTTGTTAATCAATACTTTAATGCTGAAAAAATGTATTTTAACTTCTCGTAAAGAAGTTAAAGTTTGAAAGACTTTATAATGTTTTAAATAATTTTCTTCTATAAACAATATAATTTACCGCAGTAATAGAAGTTAGAATTCTATCGAAATACAGTTTGTAATAAGTATTTTTATTTTTCGTAACTATTATGTATAAGAGTTTCTCCAGCGTTTGAAGCAGAGCTGCCCGGCTACCACATATAGAGAATACCCATATACAATTTTCATGGTTCTGAAATATTCCAGCGAAACCCGTGGCAACGTAATAACGTTTCGTCTCATGCCATTTTCTCATGGGTAAAGTTTTACTGGACGAATATATATGTATAGCGTTGGGGACTGCCGATAGATTTCGAAACAAGTTAAAGAGCGGGAGTGCGCTTCAGCTTAGCGCTGTTAACGGCACTCAGTTTTGCTGAATTTTTTAAGCGCGTTGCAGTGGAATAAAGAACGAGAATTTTGTCAAACAACAGCGGTATATATTCTGGATTTGCAATCACTGTATCGTTTTGTTACCTATATTATACTGTTGTGTGTACTCTGTTTCCTTTTTTTTTTGGCCAACTCAAAAGTGTATTCTAGACAGAGAAGCTTTCATGTCACCGCTGTTTACGAAAGTACACCTGAGACTACGAAAAAGATTTGATTTTCGTTACAGTTGTTATTTATTTCGCTTACTGCACAGATCTGTCTCGCATGCTCTGCAAACGCGGGCCATTCCAACTGAAAAATTGAAGCTCATCGTATTCGCTTAGGTGACGTTTGTCGCATTGATTCCAGATCGATGAAGAGAGATTTACAGCCGAAAGTACTGTAAATTCGGAGAAATAACTTTTATATTGTAAATAATAAAAAATTACCCGGCGGCGTCCAAGCTGGCTAAGGTGTCGGTACTGGCATTATGGACGTTTTGAAGATTGGTGCCCGGGATAAGGCTAACGCATGTCGTGATGCTATAATCCGTCGTGGTTGGCGGATCCGTGCTAAGGTTCTTCCTCTTGAACTCTTCGCTGATCCTGCTGAGAGGATCTGGTCTCACGAAGCCATCGTATAGACTGGGGTCGCTATGGCCGCGGAACAAGTTGTGCCTGGAATCGACATCCTCCATTCCGGCGCGATGAAGTTCTGGGACGAGGCGCAGCCAGACCGACAGTTGATGCGCTCTATAATGATTCTTCATTTTCGGCTTCAGTCCTGTAACAGCAAAAACATCCGCGTACAACGCGCGTTAGAAAAAAATTGAAATTTTAATCCGTTTCTTCTGAAAGAGCGCCCTCTTATTAAAAACACAGATAGAAATGTTATGTAATAATTTCATATATTGTCAAAATTTAATTAAAATGTATTAAAAATGTAAAGATTAAAAGCCGAATAAGTAATAATTAATAGATGTTTTTATAATTGTTAGAAAATGTGTTTTAATATAAACGCAACTTTTAAATAAAAAGTTTTTTTATAAAAGTATAAATACATGATGTAAAAAGTCCTATTACAATATTCATTATTGTAAGCATGTGTATTTCGCGGAATACACAGTATATATAAAGAACCGTAATGCCAATGAGAAACGGCATATTAGCGGTAAGTTGCATATCGCATTCCAAGTAATCCTGCGCAGTCTCCAGTTTTGCACGATAATCTATTTCCGATGGCTTGGCTGCAGCTGCAGCTCCCAGGTTCACGGTTGATCTTGTTACAATGCGACGGGGCATGCAACTAGCTCGATGTTGCCAAATTCTATTTTATAGCTGCAGATCGAAAAGAAGTTCTTTCTTCAAGAATTCAACAAGACAGCTTTATTGACCGCCCTCGAACTACTGATTTCTAGTTACAAAAAGTACTGTAGTACATACTAGATCTCTAATTAAGAAAATTAAACAATATTTCTAAGACAGAAATAATAGCAATAGATTTACAACAAGAGACAATGTAAGAAATTGTGCTAGTTAAAATTTATATAGTTTTGAAAATGATATTGTTATGTGACTAGATCTCTAATTATTTCGTTATTCCGCTCTTCGTTATTCCGCTTTTTTAACTTGTCCATAAGTTTTTAGGGATTGATTTTAGCAAGGTTTCGCTCTTGCGTTTGCAAACAGCCAAAGAAATATCCCCTTGGCTTACTGCAGGTCTCATATACAGTTTATTTGCTTACGCGTCTATTTCGCTGATTCTAGCCAGCGCACTTGTTTTGCCATCGCTTCCACCGTAAGAGACGCAAAACTCTTTGGAGCGCGCCGAATCGCGCGCGCGGGAGAGAGTCCTCAAAGGAACCCCTTTGATTTACGCTTCGTGGCAGCAGCTCGTTTAATATTCGCGGATGTTTTGAAAAGGATACGATCTCACTACGTGCGCCATATCATGCGACATGTTCGATTACACTTTACAGAACAGAAATATAACGGGATGGGCATTCCATCGATATATGAACGGAAAAAACATAGAATTTGCTCGATCACTTTCCTGCATCGTTTATTTCCACATGTTGGATATAACGGCTGACTTAGGTGGAGAGAATTACAGCTATAGTTTTAGATATCTGATGTTTAGTGATAGTATGTGCGGTGGGTTTGCACCGAATTGCAATCCTGAGACAGAAATCCTGCATACAGATTTCATCCCCCGGAAATCCGATTAGCATTATAGTTAGTTTGCTTGCAAGAGAAGATACAAGATACAACATCACATACGGGATCTACGGGGAATGTAGTTATTACTCGCTCGCGAGATAACGTAAAGCGACTTAACAGATTTTTCGAAACGCTTTAGATTTTGCAAGCGAGCCGGTTTGATTTTTGTCGAGACCGTAGTGCTCGAAGAAGAGACTACCTTTGATAGCAAATAACCTTGCAGCAAGCGGTTTATTAACGAACTAAAATTTACAAAACATGCTTTATGTTGTTTGCGTTCACATTGTTGTAATAGAAATTTGCTCGGAAGCTAAAGAAAGGATTACTTTAGTTAACTTTCCGTATAATGCATGTGAAGAACTGTAACAACTTCAAGATACATAAAATATTTGAATACAAAACCGACATTTTCATCATAAAACAATGCATAACAAAACTCTGTATTTTATTAATAAGATTATAAAGATTTTAAATAATTTTTTTCAGTATTTTTGAAAAGACTTAAAGACTTTTTTTTAGGCTTAATTAATTAGCTTTAATTTGTATTCAGAATTTATTAATTTTCTTAATTAACACAAGCAATAAGAGAAGTAAAAGTGTATTAATATTTTTAGAGAATAATTTGCACTTTATATTCTAATCTGTTTATGTAATTGTATTCGACATAACATTATCCAAAGCATTTTGTTACATAAATCTACTGAATATATAACGATGGAAAACTGATTTATGTTAAAGTTCAATAAGCGGAAAAAGCAGAAAGAGATTATTGCGAAGGAAAAAAACGCGAAGTGTTTAATAAAAAAGGACGCGCAAGAATTCCATAACGAAGAATCGCACAAATCATTGATGTCAAACTAATTGCTCTCCAGTAATTCGTGTACCTTCATCCCTTCCTTCCGAAATTGGCAAACACAGATCCGTGATTTCAGCGAGAGAAATATCACACTGATTATACATGCACATTATGATTTAATGTTCAGGAATAATGGCTATCGCTCACATCCATCCAGATAATCGTTTGAGCAGTGTTTGATTATAGGTACACGTCATACATATTAAAATATTGGTCTTCTCTCTATTTTTCTCTGTCAAAGCTCTTGCGATTAAAAATTACATTGTCGCACAAAATTATATTTATTAAACAATAAGAATATGTAAATAAGTTGTTAAAAAATATATTTTACATAGCATGAATAGAATTAATTATTCTCTTAAAAAGAGTAAAAAATAGTAGATATTTAAAAAATATATTTTCGTTAAAAGTAATTCCTTCTCTATTTTAAAATTATATTACGTTAAAATTAAGTAACTTAATTTTCTTTCCTTCTTTATTAGAATTTAATAAAAATTTTTATTACTTCTACTTGTTAAAATTTTTATTAAAACTTAACAATTACATGCCAAGAAGACATTAATATTTAAAAAATTACATTGTTGAAAAATTACAGTACTATTTTTTTGTTTTTATATACATTTTGTAATGTAAATAATAGTTAGCAATATTATATAATAAAAACGTAGACGGATAATCTTGTGCTTTTTTCTTAAAAATGCAAACAATGCTTAAAGTTTTCTGTGGGTCTCTCCGATAAACTTTCGTAAATTTTTTCTCATGACGGCATCTGTCGATATTGGCAAAGTATTTTTCAATAAAGGCTTTTTATTACGCAAATATGTCATATTATATTTAGCTCAATCACGAACGTTGATTTACGCACAGACTTGTCCGAATATTCATCAATTCGTATATTATATCACTATATCAGAACCACTATTCTATTATTAATAATTTTTTTATAAATATACCGATTTTTTTTCAACTTTTATATCTTCTCCTATTTTTATTAACGTTTTTATTGCTTAAATTATAATAAGATTGTCAAGTCTGACTGTGATTGATTATTTGTATGTATTTCTTCCTAACTTAGAAATCTGTAACCTAAGCGTTTTAATAGTTTTTTAATATCTTGTTATATTTTATCTCATTATTGATTTAAAGTTTCAACTCTTTAAAAGTTTAATTATTTTCTTCTCTTCAAGTGTTATTCTTCTAAATTCTTCAATGGTTATCACACACTCTTCTCGAAATCTTTAAAATTAACAATTACTTAACTTCTAGGCTCTCGGAAGCTCAAAATTCAGGATCTTTTCTTCTTTAAAATGTAGCAATGCAGCATGTTCCAGGATTCAGCCCGGTAAAGCTCAGAAAATTGTTGAAAGCATATTCGTAAAAATAACGTATATCGCGATGCGCGTCACGTTTCCAGGAGTTATCCTGGCCAGGATATCTGTCCTCCAGTGACCCGGATTCGGAGGGTGATCGAGGTAATACAGTAGGTGGCTTCGAGAATCGATGCAACCGACGTCACTGCGAGTTTATTTCAATTTTCAATCTAATAAGAAATTCCTTCGCAACTATTTTTCAACCTAGCTGCCTCGTCTCCGGGCGAGTACCCCCTACGCGCGAGGGTAGATTTGTCTCTCGATCTTTTTCACAGACCTCCTACGTCTCTCCGCTATCTCTCACACGGTACCCAAGCGCGTCACCCCTTTCCGCTATATTTCCCTCATGGAGTTTCCCTATCGCTCACCTCTCTCAACCTCTCCCCACGTTCTCCATCGTATCGTTGCAGATTCCCCGCACCTTTTACACGACTTATCTCCCGCTATCTGCTATACGGTTACCTTCGTACCACGTAGTCGTAGTGATACTCTCTTCCTCTCGCTACCGCCATCCTCATTTGTTCCACAAAATTCTCTGAGAAAATGACGGTATCTACGTCAGATATACATAACCGCTGCCCGCGGGCGATGATTATTTTACGATCAATCGAGCGCCTCGTCTACTTTATCATATTCTAGATGGATGGACGAACGGAATAAAATTGTCGCTCTCTGTGTCGACCTCGAAGAAATTCGTTTTGGAAAAAAAGTCGGTGAATTCTCACATTGATCGTGATATTTTATTAAAAGAATTCTTCCGTTGGCTGGAATTCATGAAGTTCGAGAAACTCTGCATCCACACGCTTGGCGTTTTGAGGTATCTTGTTGTGGAGTAATTTACCGAATGAAGAAGAAAATGTACAGCAAGAGATACTTGACGACATATCGAAGATATCAGTTAAATAAAAATTTAATTTATTTTAAATGTAACATTTTACATATTTTAAAAATATATTTTTTTGCGATATTTCCTGATTCTATCATATTCACTGAATGCAATAATACAATGTTCGGTTTTTTAAGCTCTTTTATCTTTAATCTTGAAAATGTTTAAATTCTTTTTCTCTGTCGCTCACTGAAATTCTAAAAGAACACTTCACGTTTTACGATTTAAAACTGTCTCTTTTCCGGATTCGCGTACACAAATGCAATAAAAATTTCTTACTTTTACCACTTTATTTTCGCATTAAACCGATTAGAACAAACTTCCGTTTATGTAAAACTACTGTTCGGCACACATAAATCGGGAAATTATTTTCATCGGGCGCAAATACTCGGGAAATCCGAATATCTAGACGAAATTGGGAGAGCGATTGGGAGAGGAAAGAGAATAGGAGG